CCTCCTAGCTGGTGGATCACATCGTGCTGCTGGAGCAGGAGCCGAGGGGAAATAGAGCGACACTTCCTTTTTCCTCTTCTTAAATATGAGTCTCCTTGCTATGTCACTTCCTGTCTGGAACACCACTTCTCTACTACATTTCCCAGAATCCTCTTTGACTCCTAGTCCAGCCTAACCTGCTGTCTCATTGGCCAAGCAAGTACTTTATTTATAAACATACACAGAAGTATTTCCCCCATCACAGTTCCGTTCTCCAACCCGTCCTCCCCTACCACCCAACTAAAACCCTATCTGTCACATATCCTTTCTGCTCCCCCTGGATGATGAGGCCTTTCATAGGGTATCATCAGTGTCTATTGTATCCTTTGGGATAGGGCCTAGGCCCACCCCTGTGGGTGTTGGCTCAGGGAGTATTCCTCTATATGGAATGGTCTGCCAAAGTCCACACCTATGCTAGGGATAAGTACTGAACTTCTACAGGAGGTCCCATAGATTTCTGAGGTTTCCTCACAGAAACCCATGTTCCTGGGGTCTGGATCAGTCTCTTGCTGGTACTCCAGCTATCAGTCTGGGGAGCAAGAGTTTCCAGATGTTCAGTTCAGCAGTTTCTGTGGGTTTCACAAGCCTGGTCTGGACCCCTGTGCTCTTCACTTGACCAGTTCTGTGATTAGTTGTAGGTATCTGCTTCTACTTCCATCAGCTGCAGGATGAAGGCTATAGGATGGCATATAAATTAGTCATCAATCTCATTATCAGGGTAGGGCATTTAAGTTATTCTCTCCTCTGTTGCTTAGATTGTTAGTTGGTGTCATCTTTATGGATCTCCAGACATTTCCCTAGTGCCTGATTTCTCTTTAAATCAAAAATGTCTCCCTCTATTATGATATCTCCATTCTTGTTATTATTTATTCATCCCCAGACTCAACTTTTCTGCTCCCTCATATTCTCTGCATCCCTCCTCTTCTCCCCTTCTCATTCTCCTAGCTACCTCAACCCTCTTCCTGTGCTCCCATTTTGCTCAGCATATCTTGATCCTTTCCACTTCTCCAGGGCACAATGTTTGTCTCCTTTAAGGTCCTCCTTGTTTATTAGATTCTTTGGAAGTGTGGATTGTAGGCTGGTAATCCTTTACTCTATGTCTAAAATCCGCATATGATTTTATATGATTTCGTCTTTTTCCATTGAGTTACCTTGCTCAGAATGGTTTCTTCTAGTTCCATCCATTTTCCTGCAAATTTCAAGATTCCATTGTCTTTTTTCTTCCACTGAGTAGTACTTAATTGTGTAAATGTACCCTATTTTCTCTATCCATTCTTCGGTTGAGGGGTATCTAGGCTGCTTCCAGTTTCTGGCTATTACAAATAGTGCTGCTATGAACATCGTTGAACAGATGTCCTTGTATGAATGTGCATCTTTTGGGTATATGCTTATGAGTGGAATTGTTGGATCTTGTGGTAGACTGATTCTCATTTTCTTGAGGAGTCACCATACTGATTTCCAAAATGGATGTACAAGTTTGCACTCCCACTAGCAGTGGAGAAATGTTCCCCTTTCTCCACATCCTCTCCATCATGAACTGTCATTGGTGTTTTTGATTTTGGCCATTCTGACAGGAGTAAGATGGTATCTCAGAGTTGTTTTGATTTGCATTTTCATGATAGCTAAGGATGTTGAACACTTTCTTATGTGTCTTTCAGCCGTTTTAGATTCCTCTATTGAGAACTGTCTATTTAATTCTGTACCCCACTTTTTAATTGGATTGTTTGGTGTTTTGGAGACTAGCTTCTTGAGTTCTTTGTATATTTTGGAGATCAGCCCTCTGTCGGACGTGGGGTTGGTGACTATCTTTTTCCAGTCTGTGTGATGGGGTTTTGTCTTGCTGACTGTCTCCTTTGCCTTACAGAAGCTTCTCAGTTTCAGGAGGACCCATTTATTAATTGTTGACCTCAGTGTCTGTGCTACTGGTGTAATGTTCAGGAAGCAGTCTCCTGTACCAGTTAATTCAGGGGTATTTCCCACTTTGTCTTCTAATAGGTTCCATGTAGCTGGATTTATGTTAAGGTCTTTGATCCATTTTGACTTAAGTTTTGTGCAAGGTGATAGGTTTGCGTCTAGCTGCAGTCTTCTACATGTCTGCAACCAGTTATGCCAGCACCATTTGTTGAAGATGTTCTCTTTATTCCATCTTATAAATTTGGATTGTTTATAAAAAATCAGGTGTTAGTAGATGTGTGGGTTAATATCAGGGTTTTCAACTCTATTCAATTGGACTACCTGTCTGTTTTTGTGCCAATACCAAGCTGTTTTCAGGACTATAGCTCTGTAATAGAGCTTGAAGTCAGGGATGGTGATGCCTCCAGAAGTTCCTCTATGAAGCTAAAATTATACAATGAAAAAAAGAAAGAATCTTCAACAAATGGTGCTGTCATAACTGGATGTGGACATGTAGAAGATTGCAGATAAACCTGTATCAATCACTATGAACAAAACTTAAGTCCAAGTGGATCAAAGACATCAACACAAATCCATCCATATGCAACGTCTTATAAGAGAAAGAGGGAGTTACCGTTGAACAAATTGGTACAAGAGAGCACTTCATGAACATCAGCATCTGTTCTTTAAACAGCCTTGTGTTGTTATTCTAGGCACCAGTATGTCCTGCCACTTGCAAAGTCCCCATGGTATCAAGGGTAGGTGAAGTATCACTTTTACTTACAAAGAGGAATAGGTTGTACTTATTCTATTGACATATTACTTGTAGTGTCAATAAACCCCATGTGCAACTGATCTGAAATTAACCTTCCTTCATTAGTCTAACTTCCCCAGAATATGTCTCCCCAGCAGTAAGGAACCCATATTGTATCTGTTTTCCAGATCTAATATTCTCTATAATTTTATCATAAATGTTTTGGATATTTCTGAATCACTTACTCATCTGTAGCTGTTTATAAAATTTCTTATTGAATTAATGATAAGTTCCTAGAGTTCACTGTGTGATTAATAGGTATAATTAATACATATTTCTTTTTTTGTTGTTTTTTTTTTTCGAGACCAGGTTTCTCTGTGGCTTTGGAGGCTGTCCTGGGACTAGCTGTTGTAGACCAGGCTGGGCTTGAACTCACAGAGATCCACCTGCCTCTGCCTCCCGAGTGCTGGGATTAAAGGCATGCACCACCAACGCCCGGCTTTAATATATATTTCTAACTAAAGATAATTTTCATAAATAGCACTTTTCATTGATGATAAAATTAAGACATTTTTTATAAAACACTTGAAAATAATTTAAAATGTAAAGAAACAAGTATTAATAATTTATACCCAAAGCCCATTTGTAATTTTTGGGTTGTATTAATTTTCTGACAGTCAATTTAGCTGCATATTTTATATGGAATAAAGCACACATTGTTTTGATAGAAAATATTAATTTTTTCATACTTTGAAATTTTGTTAAATATAGTATTGGCATCTTCCTTACATTTTTAAAATGCTGAATACTCTAATTGCAATAAAGAATATCCTCTGATTTGATAGGACCATATTTACTTTAATTTTTAAAAATTTTTTGATACTTAAGCTGGTTGCCAAGTTTTATTAATGTGAATAAAATAGCATTTGGCATCCTTTTCTAGTAATTTTGATGTTTACAAAGCATTTTGCTTTGGATAGGACTTTGCAAATATAATTTATTGGTTTAGGGTAAAACGGTGGTAAAGAATTCTGATACATAACATTCTGTCACTCTTCCACAACACAGTTCCAATTTCAAACATGTCAGTACTAAGTGTGAGCATTTATTTTCACTTCACCACTGTCACTGGCATTAAACAGTTACCTCTAAAAAAGGAAATATGTGTATTTACACCATTTGACAGCATTTTGTTGCTATTCAAATTCGTTTTTTCTTTAATCAAGTTAATACTTTATAGAAGAAATATGCGTGTGTGCTTCTCTTGATTCCCTTATTCATTTTTATTTGATGCCGAATGTTGTTCTATATTACATAAAAACTTCCATATGCTTCAGACATTACTGAAATAATAACTTTTATTTAAGCTTCTGGAAATATAATTTCTAAATGGTGCATCAGCCATTACCATAAAAGGGAACATTAAGCAGATATAGGAATACATACAGATAATATTTGCAAGTTATAATTACACAAAGAAAAAGAAACCTTCGTTTCAGCTGTTAGAAGGCAATGAAGAAGGCACACTCACTAATGCTGAGGGCAGAAACTGCTTTCTTTTCTGCAAGGATACAGATGGATTTGAAGACTTGCTTAGAAAGTTTAGGAAGTCCTTTTTATGCTGCCAGAGAGTGGTGCTGCAAAGGACCCCTTGCAAACAATTGCTGTAAGCTTTAAATAGGATTTTCTAATCCTCTTGGCCTCCAAATATACTACTTCCTCAGCCATTCCGCCAACTGGGACCATGTTGCCAATAATGTCTTTGGGATAAATTTGAATTCATCAGGCTTGACTTTAATTACATTATGTAAACTAGAAAATGCCCCCAGTAGGCTTGGAGGGAACAGCTTCTGCATGTGACTGAAGAGTTCTGTTTTGTTTAAAATATTAGCATTTGACCAGTCATTTTCATCCTCATATTGAATTTACTTTTTAGAGAAAATAAATAGGTGCTTGCAAAATTTTTGCAGAATCTTTCCCTCTGTTCCTCCCTTAGTATCCCCTCTGTCCCCATTTGGCAAGACATTAGAAGAGGTGGACAAAGCCCTGGGTTCATGGTCTATCTCAACACCATAGAAGTTCTGTGTAAGGAGTATTGTCAGACAATGTGTGGGGCACACAGTCTCCACTCCTACACTCACTATGATACAACAAAGAGAAAGGACGAAGGTGAAATGATTGATGGATATCATAACTGAATTCATGATGACATTTGAACAATTTTATTACTGGACTGATCTCCTCCTCTGATACTTCTGTCCTTTTCCATGTATGGCTCCAATCCCATCTGCTATCTGGCATGCTGTATTTCTACCCCTGCTTCAGTTTGGACTTGGCTCAGTCACTTACTTGATAGAATGATGTGGGTTATGTTTACACTAGCTTTCTAGAGTTTCCTGGCCTCACCATGAAAACAACTTATCCTGGAAAACTGCTCCAAAGAGAAAGGGAAGCAGATCAGAGATGCCCCATCTGGGCTTAATATTTAACCAAGAACAATGGTAGGTTGCAACAAACCTTTCTAGCCAAGCTAAGACCATATGATAGGAAAGCTCCCTTGATGAAGACCATCAAACATTGCTGTGCTATCTCAGTGAGCTCTGGAATAGCCTAGCAAGCATCCACATAAATTGATGTAATACTCTCTGAAGCTTTAGCAACTTACACGGCTACATTGTGCAAAATTTGACAAAACTCCTTGGTGAGGAAGAAAGCTCATCCATGCCCTTTCACTGTGGAGTGGGGATGTTCAACTTTGCCTGTTTCTTATTTGCAGCTCCAGCGATGTGCCTTCTGCTGGCAACTTGGCTTTTAAGGAAACATTTCTCACTGCAAAACCAATTTTTATTTCCCCTCAATACACTTCAGCAGCCATCTCTCTTCAAAGCTCCTCCCCGAATCCTTCTTTGCAATTCCTGCCTCGGAGATGCAAAGGGCTTGAATGAAAAGTGGTAATGGTTGAGTTCAGAAATAAGGCAAGTCTTCCATTTCCTGTTCACCTTGTAGGGGCAATCTAAACCTCAAGCATGCTGCAGTCAGTCTGGCATGCTTATGTTGCCAGCTATTAAAAGATGCAGAAAAATGATTCAGATTCAGGCCATGAGTTATGAAAAACAAAATCTCCAATCAGAGAAAACATACACATTTGTCTGTCTCACACAAGGCAGAAAAATCACATAACCATGACCATTTCTGATTTTTTGAAATATTAAAATATGAGAAATATGTTTTCTTTATAACTTAAAAGAGATTATAAAAAAACAAGTTATTCAAAGGATTGAGTTGTGGCTCAGTTTTACCAAAATCCATAAGCTACTTATAGCTCAATGTTTTCAAAACAGTCACCAAACTACAGGGAAAATATTGTGATGATAGTAGTCTTTTAGTGGAACCAAATGACCATCTGGCATACTACTGCCTATAAGAGGACAGAGCCTATTAATATCTCAGCTTTACTAAAGACAGCAATCCTAGCTTATTGCAGTAGGCAGAATCAAATCCTCCCCCACAGAAAACCAGGTTGTGAGCAATCCATGCTCAGGAAGTGGAGCATCAGCACTGATACACATGGAAGCTCACTCCTGTTCAGTCAGATTCCCCACAGCCTTGGTGCCTTACAGCTACATTTTCTGCTCCTGTGACAAAGCCAGGATCTCCCAGTCCTTAAGCACTTCAGGATCAGAAATCACACACCTTTTGATTCACAGTCCAACAAATTATTGATGGCAAATCCATTTCTATTTCAATAATCACAACCCAGAAAGTTTGTCAGATTTGTATATCAGCACATGTCTGTGTCTTGTAAATGGAGTAAAATACAGCTTAAAATTCCACTGGCATCAGTAAGGTCAGTAGACTGAGCTCATACAATAGTTGTTTCTGAGAATTAGGAGTGAATATTATTTTTCTGGAAGTGTTTTTTATACTGGGGACAAAGAAAGGGAAATAAATATTAATATTGACCAAGTCTCTTCTGAATGCCACTAGCAGCACTCATGCGGCTCTGTTATGAAAGAACAAGGCCTCCTCTGTTCTCCTGAAGTCCATTTGTATTTCAAGGAGACTAGACATCCTGAAACTTTGAGTGCAGCCTTATATTTGGCAGACTCTCTATTTTGTCACTATTCTACAAATCTGCAAACTCAATTACACCAAATAACTTTTTAGTAGTTTCGTTGTTCCTTAAACTTAGTCCCAAAATTAAATTCACATTTAATAATGAAATAAGATCGACTCAGAAGAAGCCATGTCTAGTTGTTGTGTTGCACAGTTGCACACTCTCAGAACAATATAGAAAAGTTGTGTGATGTGAAAAGTGACCTCCAGGAGCTACATTAGTGTTTAGTGCACATCCACACAGTAACTGACCAGCTCCATAGCAACCAAACACTTGAGGAATGCCTACAACATGTCCACAACAAACCACAACAAGTAACATGAGATAGGCAATGTTTTTAGAACATTACTTGTATTAACTACTTTAATCCTATGAGACAAGTGTCACACATTTCAAAGGAAAAATAACAGATTAATAGAATTTATTTCAAAAGTAGGTACCAGAAGCAGGGCATATTCTGATTGTAACTGCTATCAAGGGAGTCATGACACCATTTACTGAGTCTTTTTTCTAGCATACCTCTTTCTTCTTTTCCTAGTTTTTTTCTCCTTCCTTTCGGCCTGAACTTATTTGTTCTCAGTGTAATCTTTATAGGGACATTACATATTTACATAGTTTATTGGTATTATTTACTGAAATTTTAAATATGTTCTTTTATTTAATTTCAAGAGTAACATTGCTATATTTTTTCTTCTTTGTTCAGAATACTTCAATAATGACAAGGACTTAAATGTTCACATATAGAAATGCTATTGTGAAGCATGGACCCTGTAAATGAAATAAGGACAAGTGTGCATTACTTCCCCTCACAGCATTCTAATAGAAAAACTGACAGGACCTGCACTGACTGAAAAAATCTGTTCTCTCTGCATAACATCAAAGGAAACATTGCTGGAAAGCATCTCTAGCCAATGGCCAGTAGCAATATGCCAATATTATCAATAGCTACAAGACTTTCTTTAAATTCATCTACTGTGGGTGATTGCATTTATAAAAGGTGAGATGGCAAGGTAAGACATCAAAATCCAGGGCTGGAGAAGTGGGGAGTGGTTAAAGGCAAATACTGTCCTTGATGAAAGGAAGGGTTCAGGTTCCAGCATCCATATCAGGTAGCTTACACCAGCTGTGACTCCAGTTCCAGGGGCTCCAATGCTTCTGGCATCCTCAGGTACAAGAAATATTTTTTATTCTTTTTTGTTATTTTTATTTAAATTAAAAATAATCTTATTTTATATACCAATCTCAGTTCACACTCCCTCCCATCCTCCCATTTCCCCCACATCACATCTATGCATTCCTTAAGGAGGGTAAAGACTCCCATGGGTGATCATCAAAGTCTGTCACATCATTTGGGGCAGGACCTAGGCCCTCCTCCATGTATCTAGACTGAGAGGGTATCCCTCAATGGAGAATTGGCTCCCAAAGCTCATTTGTGCACTAGGGATACATACAGGTTCCAATGCCAAAGGCCCCACAGTCTACCTGGCCAAGTAACTGACACCCATGTTCAGGGGGCCTGGCTATGTTGTAGGCTGGTTCACAGTTGTTTGTGATCTCCCATTTGCTCAGGTCAGCTGTTTCTGTGGATTTCCCTAGAATGGTCTTGACCCCTTTGCTCTTCACACCTCCCTCTGTACAACTGGATTCCAGGAGTTCAGCTTAGTGCTTAGCTGTGAATCTCTGTTTCTGCTTCCATCACCTACTGGATGAAGGTTCTATGATGAGTCATCAATCTCATTATAGGGGAAGGACATTTAATGTAGCCTCTCCTCTACTGCAAGACTTAAAAACTGAAATAAAGGCAATACAGAAAACACAAACTGAGGGAATCCTGGAAATAGAAAATCTGGATAAATGATCAGGAACTACAGATGTAAGCCTAATAGAAAGAAGAGCTGCAAGAGAGAATCTCAGGGGTTGACGATACACTACAGGAAATAGATTGATCAAACAAAGAAAATGTTAAGTCCAACAAATCCTTAACGCAAAATATCAAGGAAATATGGGACACAGTGAAAAGACCACACCTATGAATAATAGGTATAGATAGAAGAAGGTGAAGAAGCCCAGCTCAAAGGTACAGAAAACACATTCAACAAAATCATGGATGAAAATCTTCCCAACCTAAAGAAGGACATGCCTATGAAAGTACAACAAGCTTACAGAACACTAAATAGAATGTACCAGAAGTCTCCTAGCCACATAATAATCAAAACATTAAATATACAGAATAAAGAAAGAATATTAAGATCTGTAAAGGTAAATGGCCAAGTAACATATAAAGACAGACCTATTTGAATTACACCTAATTTCTCCACAGAAATTCTGAAAGCCACAAGGTCCTGGTTAGCTATTCTGCAAACACTAAAAGACCATGGTGCCAGCCCAGACTACTATAGCCAGCAAAGCTTTCAATCACTATAGATGGAGAAAACAAGATATTCCATGACAAAAACAGATTAAAAAATACATATCCACCAATCTAGCCCTACAGAAAGCCCTGGAAGGAAAACTCCCATCCAAGGAAGTTAGCTACACTCACAAAAAACATAGGCAATAGATAATCTCACATTACCAAAAGCCAAAAAAGGGGGAAACACACATAATACCACCACCAACAACAAATCCATAACTAATAAAGAATCAACAATCAATGATCATTAATATCCCATAATATTAATGGTCTTATTTTGCCTATAAAAAGACACAGGCTAACAGAATAGATACAAAGACAGAATCCATCCTTCTGATGCATACCAGAAACACACCTCAACTTAAAAGACAGACCAGCAAATACTCAATGAATCAAGAACTAGGAAAACTTTCTGAATAATGACATCCTTGCTCTTCATTTTGAACAAAAGATGTGAATCTTGCCTCCAATAATACTTCATAGAAATTTAGGCCAAAGAATGATTAGAATCCTTTACTGTTATTGACTATGCAAGCTAGATATCTTGAGCCAAGAGCTAGATACCTTGAACAAAGACTATGTCATAATATGACTCTCAAACTCAGAATGTCAAATATAGAAACATCTAAGCAGCTTTACTTGGCCAATATAGAAAAAGACCCTTCCAATTTGACCTGTAGGCCCAGGTCCAGATACATCATAGACATTTTTGACTCAGAAAGATGCTGTGGCACTTTATTGAAATTTGAGAGGTCTAAAAGGGTTCAAACAACAAGCAACATCATTACTCTTCAGAACAATGTCTC